GCCCGGCGGCTGGCAAGGAGAACCCGCACGGGCGACGCAAAGACAACCAGGCCCCCCCCCTCCTCTCCCCTTCCCTGTGGCCGCCAGCGCCCCGGCCAAAGACCTGCCAACGCCCACGATTTCTCCGCAGCCTCTCATCGGCCCCCTCTCCCCCTCCCTTAGCTCCTCCTCCCCCGCCTCAACCCCTCATTTCCCCCTACCTGTGGGGCCGACCCGGACGTGGCCCTGTTCGATGAAAGTAACCGCCTCCTTTAATGTCTCCGCCATCTTCATCCGCACCATCACCACCGGCAAGCGGCGACGGCAAAAGGCAGAGGCGGCCAGGGTCTCGCACTGGCTCAAGGACTTCTTTGTCGGGATTAAGCCCATGTTGTAGAGCTTCGACAGGAGCTGGAGAGGGGGGAAAGGGGCATGCTATGGTCAGGCTCGCCATGTTCATCGTGGGGATTTAAAACTTCCCTCCTGGTCGGTACATCTCTAGCCTTGAAGCGTGTGTTTGGGTGCCTGGGCCTCCCTTTGAGGAATATCTTCACATCTATGCCCCTTCCACCTCATTCCGTCGACTCGTCCATCATCAAGTACATTCTTCTCCATACATTCCATGCAGCCTGTTCTCAACTTTGTTCACTTTGAATCACCATTCTTAATCAGTAAGCCTCATCTCCCCCTTCCAATCTCACCATCCCTTTCTCCTCACTTCGTATCCTTACATCATCTGTCATCTTGATCCGGAACTCATCCTCCGGTTTCAGATCCTTCAGCTTAGCCGTCAACTTGGTGATATGCCCACAAATTTTGTTATACCTATCAAGAAAAAGTGACAAGAATTCGGCAAAAGGAGACAGTGAACCGGGAGAAACTATGGACGGATAACCTAACACGGTAGCCAATGATGCAGCCACGGCCTCGACATTTAGCGTCACACGTTAGGTTCCGCAATTGCCCTCATCTCTACACCATGTACAAAGCCTTCGGCTTGTTTCTTGCTTACTTGACATAGTCCTCCCGATCCTGGATGTGGTAGCGCCGCAATATTTTGATTTCTCGGATGTTCTGGTCACTCTTCCATTGCAGGAAATCGACCTTCTTCAGCAGTTTTTGCTCGTGGTGCCGCAATTGCCGCATCCTACTCTACGTGAAGAGAGAGTCGAAAAAATGAAGGTCATGGCAAAGGGTGAGTCGGACCAACATGTTCCAACCTACAGCATGCGGTAATGCTGAGGGATACTCTCGCAGTTGGGGAGGTCTGTGCAGCGTTTTTTCGCGTCTGCCATGCAAATCCTAATTTCAGGCCTGCGACACCATTATCTCTATTGCGCACACACAACTTATTGAAATCCTTCATGTCGTGGTCGCACAACCAAACAGCACCCGTCGCATTAACGCTTCGTAACTCTTAGTGGACGTGCGCAGACAAGCTTTATATCCGGGTAGCGTTTAGAGAAAAAATCAAAACGACGGGCTTCAAAGAAGGGCAGACAACCAGGGCATTTTGGGGGCCTTTGAAATTCCATCGTTTTCATCTATGTCTTGGGAGCTTATCATGTAAAGATTAAGGAATTTCTTCAAGCTTAAACAAGCACTAAGTCTCTTTCATTGCATTTTCTGGCATATTCTCGAAATCTCGTCTGCTATAATCCTTTGGGGTTCACGAAATTCAGTGGCCACGGGTGCACTTCCTTTGTCATCGGTACATGCCAAATCGTATGGACTTACAAAACCTGAAAAGGCACACATCGAGCCAGCCAGTACTTCTCTGCATCGGGCAACAGAACTGAAGACTCCCGCAACCGTGCTCATCGGTGTTGAGAATGGCAATGGCGATGAAAGGATCCTGTTTTATTCTTTTAGGTTGGCTTTCATTTCATGTCACAAGAGCTTTGTCGTTTGTCTTTGACTTTCGTCTGGTGTTTTGGACCTTGAGTAACATCGCATTTCGCTATATGTTCTCCACCATCGCGATTACTTTAGAGTGTAGAGCTTTTAATCTAACCCTCGGAGTGAAGTGACACAAGCTTAATAAACATTCCAATGCTTCCTGTTCCTGACCATATTGCTTTTCACCAGTGCTCTTCCTCTATAGCGTCCATCCCGACTTCACTTTTGGCGGTTCCCTCTCCTCTCCAAGGCCACAAATTCCTCTTCTAACCTCTAATCAATCTTCCTATCGTCCCTGATATTATATTCTGATCTGTCTGTGCTCTCTCCGTGCGCATTTTTCCTGCCTGCATACCGAGTGTTGTTGCACCGGCT